CTGCTCTGACATCATTAAAAATGACATTGTGGAGGTCTTACACAATTGCCGTAAGACACAGTCTTGACGTCATGGATATTTGTCACCTATTCATGATATAACAACACAGCAGTCTGAAACTCACAACAACCTTGAATATTTGTCTTTCTAAGATAGCCTAGCGTGCTAAGACCTAACAATTTAAATGTTTTACAGATTTATTTTGTGCCTGCAAAATACAGAAAAATAATTTTCTGGCCTTCTGAGAAGCACCTCAGCTCTCCCATCATTTATTTCCAGCTGAATTTGTTTCATATTAGTCCACACTATTGCACAGTTTAAAGGGTTCCTATGGAAACAAACAAAACAATATTCTGTAAACTAAACAATTTATGATGTCGAAATTTAGTACATTGAGAGAAGATGCATTACAGGAGTTTTTCAAAATCATCAAATTCCAGGAAAGACAATTACATCCAATTTTCCATTGATTTTCATGCATAATTACGCATGAAAATCAGTGGAAAATTTCCACCTTTTGCATGCAATCCTGTAAAAAAACAACAAACCTGCATGTTATCATGAGTTAAATGTCATAATATGTTTCACTACTTTAATGCCTGAAGATATAAAAAATAAAATATGATTATTCACTAGCTTTTGTGGCTTTTTTAATTTTGAATTAACAAAAATTTTTAATATTTTACAATTGATAATGTCACATTTGACCTCTTTATCTCCTATCTGAATTTATAATTGACAATACCCAAATATAAGCATAGGTATCTCATTGTGGCAACTTCACTATAAGTTATCTGTCTTTTATTCTGGCTTACTAGAAAAATTGAGTATAATACTTCCAAATGTAATGTGTTAACTATAGTCTATTTCACTTCAAGATCATGGCTGTCATTTCTTTCCAGTTATACCAATTTTCATTACCTAATCACAGAAGCATGGGATGTTAACTTTTCTCATGTTGTATATGCATATTTTTGTACAGTACTTTTAATAAAAACCTTCTAATTTCCATCAGGATTCTATATCAAAAACTTCAAAATATTTTCATAATAATTCAAGAAAATAATTACCATGTTTTATGACATATAAGATGCATCCCCATTCACTATGCAACACAGAATATTTAAGATAAATTTATTGTATCAATACTTAAGCTATCCCATGTCATTCGGCACTCAACATCAATTGTTTAGTTTCTGTATTCTGGTTAAAAAAAGTAAAGTTACAATCCAAACTTTTAAACTTCTTTTAACCTTGATAAATAATATATAACAATAATAATAGTATACTGAAGGTTGTTTAGAGAATTCATTAGTCTAGATCACAACGTTACACATAAGGTAAAAGGAGATTTTTTACCTTTTTTGGACAAAAAAATACAGAATTTAATATATTTTGACTTTAACAAATAAAAGAATAAAAATCAAATAAGTGCTTATAATAAATTAAAGATTTAACTGAAAAATTGTTATAAATTTAATATTTCAATATATTAAGTGTATAATTTCAAACACAAAAATTTTAATTTATGTTATCACATTCATAATTCCATTTATATTTAGTACTTACAGTGCTAAAATTAAATACTCAATTGCAAATACTCCAATAAATTAATAATAATAATAATATGACGAGGATAACTTATCCACTTGGACTTTCTTTTTAACGAGGACTTGTTACATCGAAGGGAGAGAACCCACATAACCAGAGAGGCAACAAATTTCATTAAAAGGCCTTTACTGCAATCTTAATCTTAACCCAATTAAAGCCACAATAAAGGCCTTAAATGAAGAACTCCAAAAACTGGATGTAATTACTAAAATCAATTCCGAAAAACCTTAAATCCAATAAAAAAAAAATGAAATGTTTAATTAATAAACGAAGGACGAAGACACTCATTATACAGGTCAAAAACGTTCATTCCGTTAATAAACATTCCATTTTTTACCTGATTTAAGGGAAATTAATTTTAATAAAGGCCTTTCAATTTGATTCATTGGTCGTGCCAGTTCTCACCTTTCCATCTAGCAAGTCCTTTATACTTGACATACAGACTAGAAGCAAATACCTTAATAATACAATTAGCTTATTCACAAACTGATTGATTAAAAGATAAAAGATATTTGATTTGGGGTACTTTATGAACATAAAAAACTATTTATTCACACCAATTTTTATCTTAATTTTCTATTATTATTGAATCAATCTTTCATTCCTTGCTTCAAGACAAAGAAAAAAAAAATCATCAATAATCAATATTTTCAGGAAATCACAACAGATATTTATTCAATGATTTCTTTTACATTAAATAGTGAATTGATAAGTGTAAATATATTTTATGATAAAAGAAAACATGGATATAAAATTTAAAAATAAAAAAAAAAATTATTAAATTTTATATTACTTTAATATGAATTTTACTTTTCTTTGATGTATTTACTTTCAATATGAAGTATAATATTGAAAATATATTCAAAATTTTATAATAAAGTTAAATCAAATCTAAACTTAATTAACATGGGCATAATTAGCTGCAGACATCTTTTAAGTTATTTAATGCTACTGATTGTGTTTGTGCATAAATTCGGGGGATATTTATGATTATTTTTGCGCCTTATTAAACATGGAATAACGATCGTTTTAATAAGAAATAAAATAATCGCGTCACTCTCACCTCAAACAACGACGTAAATGCTTTCTGACGATCCAAAATGTCGACCGGAAGTTTTCTTTCTTTTAATCAGTGCTGCCATCTATACGAGGAAACCACGTAAACAAAAACAATAAGTTTTTATGATAATTTCGAAATTAAAAATTTCTACGAAACTTTATTTTCAATCTGTTAAAATACATTTGTATTATTTAAGAATATTTTAAAAATAAAATCTTTTAAAATCTACTAATTACATTTTTTTTTATATGAAAAATAAATCTGATAGTAATTATAAATTAGCTATTTCGATGCAAAAGTTTAAAAATTTTATGGTGAATTTTTTATGCTAAGTTGATTTTTATCGTTCCACAGATTTCCACACAAAAACAGACGCATTTGTGATTCATGCGCGCACATTAAATCTAACTTGCTAACGTATATTTTAGTGGGAGAATGTACAGTACAGTACTTGTATGATATTCAATTAAATGTCGCCCATATAGATCATATTCTGTGACATAAACGAATGCGTAATAAAATGAGTCCTTCGCTTATGTATGAAAATTTTTGAATTCCTCTATACAGAATGGGCGGATAGTCGATATAGTTAAGGCTTCATTTTGCCGCTCTGGAGGATCCGAAATCTGTACATTCGAGCAATTCCCTAAAAATTTTTTATGGTAATCTGTCCCGGTTTTGTCGGGTTCCGTTTTTCAACTCCCAACTATCCCCGCTGTGTGCTTGGCCACAATGGATATGGAAAAAGTTCTCTTAATGCTCACACAGCGGAAAGCCCAAGATGAAAAATCCTTCTATATCTCTTTTAATACGAGTATAAATACAGCATTATACTGTAAATACAATAAATTAAATGGATAAAAGTTTTTAATTTAAAATGTAAATTTTATAGGCTATTATCGATAATTCATCAGCCATCAATAAAGAGCAGTGTTACCATCTGTACGATTATTTCAAATGCCGTACATATTTGTTAATAATGTTTGATATGTTCAAATTGTATGAGAAAACTGTATATTTTAGATTATGCCCATTCAGAGGTTTGTTTTGTGCCATACATTATAAAGTATAGTCGTAAAAATTTCATTGTAAAATGGGTCTAAAATTTTTTTTTTGTTCTAAGGGGTCTCAGATAAAAAGTTTAAGTTTGGTTTGGTTTGTTCGAGTTATGGCAACGCGACACTTACCTAGGGGGATGCCTTCCGGGTGGTCTTTTTAATGGAAACTGGCCCCTATTTAGGCGTTACAGACGTGGAGAAAACCCGGAAAACTCCACGTGGCCAGCCCGTCCGAGCGAGGCGTGAACCCACGACCGAACTCCCAGTGTTCAAAAAAGTTTAAGAAATTCTGACATAAGGGAACCTACTTTTCTCTCTGATAGACTGTGTAAGTGTAACTGATCGAGATGGGCGCACGATAATTGTCTCCTGTAAGATTGGCAACTCGATAAAGAGATTTTGGTTCTTTCTATAATATTCGATGGCTTAATTAAAAAAAAAAAAAATCCTTAGTGCCACGATGGGAATTCTTTTATTATAAAAGAATTATTTATTCCCTTCGTGGCTTCCGTCAGGCTCACAATAACAGCAGCCAAACATTGAGGGACGGGACCCTACATAAGAGATCTTTTTTTTTACTGTTTCCACTTTGTGGGCACCAAGGCTATCTCACCTCAGCAAGTATTTCAAGAGTGCCTTATTTAGCAAGTCCATTATGGGTTCGGCCAGGTCCACAATGGGGCGACTGGGTGGTGAGGGACGAGGGCCGACACATCCGGTCGAACCAACCACCGAAAATTTCTGGGGATTTTTCGACCCGTTCGGATTCGATCCCGGGTTCCCCGAGTGGCAGGCTGCCACCTTGACCATCAATACATGAGGGTCATCGGATAACACCTTGCAAATCGAAATGAAACACGAAATATTTTTAAAAATACACATTATTTCGTTAAGTATCTTTCTAACATCAATTTTTTTTTCATATACCTTAGAATATTTAGAAAACGACAACGAGCACGTTGCTCCGTTAATACAGGACCATAAAAATTGAATTTATCTATCCATACATTTAGATAACATGTAACATGAAGAACTTCAAACTTATGAATGGAAACAGAGAATTTTATAATTTTAAATAAATCAAATTAGATTTGCACTCACACTTCGAACATTTAAATATCAAAATTTGAAATAAACAAGAAATAACCTTACAATTATTTTTCTTAATTCAAAACAAATTACCAGCAAATTTTTCTTTCTGTTTATAATTAATGAACTATACTAGAGAATTTAGATTCCTAGATTTAATAACACAATTATTAAATCTATTTTTATTCCATATACAATATTATACAAAAGCTATAATTTTATAGATGAATTTACATTACTCCTATATATTGGAATATATAATCATGAAGAAAATAATAATCATATACATATTTTTTTTGGTATTTTAAAGGAATTTTGTAAAATTCAAATAAAATAATCATCTTATTTACATTTAATTTTTCTTTTTCCTTTTTGAAACCGGTGCTTCCTTCTTTTTATCTGGTTTTGTTTTTACCTTAATCATTCCGTCAAAGCTGTCATCTTCATTTTCACTGGATTCACTAAAATCCACTTCCCCTTCTTCACCTAACAAGTCTGTCCTGGATTCTTTCCTCTTTGATTTCTTTAATGTACCTATTGAGTATGGATTTGTGATTCCTTCTTTATTATAAGCTTTTGTGAAAGCAGTTTTAATTTTAGAACTTATAACATTCAATGGATTGTTTCTTCCTGGCCACTGTGTTACTTCGACGATACTATCCACATCCTGTCTTAGTAAACAGTAATGCTTCAGTACTTCGATGCTTTTCGGAATACCTTCGAGCTCTTCTCTAATCAGAGGATTAACTATGGAATTTTTCAGTAAAGTTAGCTGATCTAGATTTAGATCTGTTTTATTTGCAGATATTTTCAAATGCATGTGGCTATGTAATTCTTGAGTCAAACGTTTAATGTGATTTTGAGTAGAATTTTTTCCCAACCAAGATGGAAAATTTATCATTCGTGTTAAATAACCTCCCATTAAGTCACCAGGGATTACACTGGAATAAATAGCTTCTACCGGTAACAAACTCCAACTGTTGGAATTACGGATTTGTTTCTCGACCAAATCTCCATCACAAATGCTATCCGCTGTTCCACTTAATAATTGTAAATGTTTAATTACATTTCCTTTAGCTTCTGCAGGCTGAACATTAATATAATTTTCTTGAACAAACAATGGAATTAGAGAATAATCATTGAAAAATAAATCAGATTTTTCGTAAATTGACATATTTTTTGTTTCACTGTGCGTAAAAATTTTTCTTAAAACATCAAAAGGACCTAATTTTATATTTTTAGTTCCTTTGCCAATGTCTCCTTTTGCCTGTTCTGCAGTCAAATGCTTTTTAGCACACCAAAGTGAAAGATTATGCATAACTTGTCTAATGTCTTGATTAGAAGCAACAATCATATCTTGCAAAATATTTGCAGAAATTTGAATCTTCTCCTTAAATGCAATTGACATCATTGCAGATTTTATTTGTTCAACTCTAGGTCTCATAAATCTCAAGTCAAAACAATAGTTTGCAAGAGAACGTATCTTAGGACTAGACCTATCGTTACATATACAGATAATTGGAATTTTGGTCGATTTTATTAATGCTATTAATTCTTGCATTCCTCCTCGATCTTCATTGCCTGCCATACCGTCCACTTCATCCATGATAATGGCATGCTGTGAAGATATCTTTTTGTCACCAATAGTACTGGTAACAAAATTATTTAGTGTCTTATTGCCTAATATTTCCATCACTTCTGCTTTCAAGCTTTTCTTTGATCTTGTATCAGAAGCATTCATTTCTATATAATCATAACTGCACTCTTTACAGACTAAATGAGCCGAAGTTGTCTTACCTATTCCTGGTGGACCAGAAAGTAACGCTGCTTTGTATTGCAGGCCATCATCTTTACTACCGTGATGTGATTTTGACTTTAAATTTTTTTGCCAATTTAATAACCAGTGAGATAATTTTTTCACATTACTACGATCACCTTGCTGCCCAATTATTTGCTTTGTCGTTAATGGTTTATACTTGTCCACCCACATATTAACAGTGTCGGATGCAATTTTATTAACTAGGTCAGTTGCCCTTTCAGAAGAACCTTCTTTAACTGGAACACTATCATGAGTTAAGTTATTTTGATTATCTTTAGATTTTTTATGTACTGCATTTTCATCATCACTACATTCAACACTCCTTTTCCTTTTTTCATTTTTCTTTGTATCTTTATCAGTATTTACAGAATGCCTGTGCTTGACATTCTCTCTATCATTGGTATTATTAGATGGTTTTATATCTGATTTCTCTTCTAAATTATTTTCTTTTGATGAATTATTGTTTCCACTTTCTCTTATTAAATCTAATAATCCATCTTCGTCTAATGTTTTAATATTAAATTTTGTGGCTTTTTCTAGTTTCGACGCACCAGGATCACGGCCCACAATTAAGTAGCTTGTCTTCTTGCTAACAGTAGTAGTCACTCTTCCTTGATATTTTTCTATTATACTTTTTATGTCATCTCTTTCAAACGATTCTAAAACTCCAGTGATCACGAAAGTTAATTTTGCCAAACAATTCGGTTTACCTTCTGGGACCTGTTTTGTTCCGAGAGCCTGCGGTCCGGTACGATCCAAGTATTGTCTATACTGTAAATAATTACTTCTCCTCTTTTGACTTTTATCACTAGAATTGGAATCTTCTGTTTTATGCTTCTTAGGCATCTCTTCCATATCACCCATATCTTTGCTACTTTCAGTTTTGACGATCAGACCTGGTTTTAAGTCGACATTAGAATCGTCATGCTTATTCTTAATGTTCGTGAAGGATTTTTCTTCCACATCTCCCATATCTTTGCTACTTTCAGTTTTGACAGTCAGACTCGGTTTCAACTCGACATTAGAATCGTCGTGCTTGTTTTTAACATTTGCAAAGGATTTTTCAGATATATTTTCTTTGGAAACTTTAGAATTTTTTATCGGACTCTTCTTAGAGGTATTTTTGCTCTTCTCTGCCGTTTCGGCTTCCGAAACATCTTGAGAGTTTAACCTGTCGGTTTTCGAGACTTTAGAAGCCGCTTTGGCTTCGGCTAATTTCGTCGAGAGCTTCTTCGGTGACTTTTCTTTACGAGCTGCCTTTTCATTTTTCTTAGTTGCGGTTTCACTTTTCAGTTTTACAGTTTCGATTTTAAAGAAATCGTCCACATCTATGGCCACTTGTTTCGATAATTTTGGTGATTTCTTTACAGATTTCGTCTGGAATACGTCTTCCGAATCAGAATCGTCGTTTATGACTCGTTTCTTGTTTCTAATTTCCTTGCTTTTCGGAAGAGGATCTTCGGAATCAGAATCTGAATCGATGATCATTCTTTTCTTCGATTTCACTTTACTATTCTCTTTTACCGATTCGTGTGTTTTAGCTGCCTTGGATGTCGTTTTCTTACTTGATGCATTATTGGTACCACCAGTTAAAAACTTTCTAATATCCATAATTAACAAGCCTATCGCTATAAACAACTTTTTACTTAAAGAGTATCTACGACGACGACACGAGTTGGCGCCATTTGTTTAGTTCTTAAATTGGACGTTTAGGGGCGCTCCGTAGATCGTAAATATATTTCAAAAAAGCTAAATGAAATTAATAAATTAAATTTTATTATTTTAGTAATGGGAAAAGCAGAAGGTCATGGAGAAAATTGGCACGGACATGTGACTGCACTTACTGTTGCTCCTGANGGAAATTGATACAAAATGACAACTATCAGGCAATTTACATGCGATGATATGTTTCGTTTTAACAATGTGTAAGTAACTTTGTTCGTCTGCAAATTAGATTTTCTTATATAATAACTCTTATTCTATTTTTAGCAATTTGGATCCCTTAACAGAAACAGTATCCTTTATTTAAACTTGAAAAGTTTGAAGTAATCGATTAATTTATTTGTAAAATGTATTTTATTTAAATACTTTATTTCAGTTATGGAAAGACAGCAAAATAATGAAAATTTGGGTGTTTTTGCTGGGTTTGATTCAATTTAAGTGACATTGAAAGTGAACATTTCCTGAATTTGAATTTGTTTTTCTGTTTCTAATCTATTAGCAGTCACATTGTCTTGAAATGGAACTTTAATTATTTCAAAAACATCAATTATGAGAATATTTAATATAAATAACGCAAGTACTAAGAAGTAAGAGAGGCTGCAAAATTTCTTTGAGTCCCTTGGAGGATAACAACAGTCTGGTATGAAATACATATTGGAGATCCTAGAGCAGTGTTTCTCAACGGGGGCGATACCGCCCCCATGTGGGCGTTTTTCCATGTTGAGGGGGCGATTAGTAACAATTTATATTTTGGGGGGGCGAAAAAACGATTTTCTGGGCAATATAGTAAAACATTATATTAAGAATAATTATATATTTTATTTGTTATATCGTACAATAATTGAACAAATAACATTATACTAGTCACTAGTCTATTCAATGCAGACGAATTTAGCATTAGGCTTGGTCCTCGACATCAGAATTTTGAAGTGAAGGAAGCAATACTATGTAATGGTTTTATTGAAGGGGGCGACGGTTCGTTAGAGGTTGGGAAACACTGTCCTAGAGCAAATTAAATTTGTGTAAATGTATAGTGTGTATATGTTTGTGTAAAGGTATTCAAATAATTTTAAGACAAAAATTGGTCAAACAAGTTAAAATTCCTGTAAAACTCAAAATTCAGTTTTTAAATATTTTCAAATACTGTTTTTGTTTTATTCATTGACATTGTATAATGTTTCTGTATTTCCTCAAAGTCCAGGAAAGTTTGTTTCTTTTGTCCTTCCTCTAGGTGTTCCTGAAATCTCTATGCATGCTAGAGTGCATATACTTTTGGAATCAAATTTATCCAAGATTACTTTGGTCACTCAAATTGTGTATAACTATAGCGATCTGATCAATCTCTATCTGCATATACAAATGCCATTTAGGATCGACTAGATTGCAATCAAACTAATCCGAGTGGAGGGTGGGATTGTTCGGATTGGATTAAAAAAAATTAAAGGTGGCAACCTCCATGGTTAAAGTCAAGCTTATAATTGATGGCAAAGAAACTGTTGATAATGAAAAATATTTAAAACTTATAAATGGTAAGTAAAAACATCATTATTAAAATATCCAATAAACTGATATGAAAAGGAAAGTATTAAGAGTAATTTTGTGAGATTGTACAGCAAGAATGTATAGTGCACACTTTCCCATTTTGCTGTTTTGTGAGCAATTTTATTTACAAAGTAAATATTCAATTTTACTTGTATACTTTCCGCCAACTAACACACGAGAAGTGATCTGTACCACGTGACAAAGACTGATCTGATCTTACAGATCGATCTGTCTGGAACAAAAAGTATATGTGACCCTAGTTAGAAGTTTATGTATGTTCCTCAAGGCTATGCACACAGGATGTCTTGAGGTTTATCCCTTCCTGTTTGGGAATAATAAAAAAAATAATACAAAAAGTCATGTATACACTTATAAAGTAAAAATTAAACTAAGTTAAGAAAAAATAATGTTTTTCTAAATGGTTTTAAAAATCCTGTGCATGGACCTTTGTTCCCCTCTATTTGCATAAATTTTAATTTTTCCTATGTTCTGGATGTCTTTCATTTTGACAAGATGAAAATTAAAGTTGATTTTTAAGTCTTTGATTATTGTTAGATGGAGTTGGAATATTTTCTTTTTCATGATATTGTAAAGTAAATTATGTCATGTTATTAATGTCTGGACTTCAAACATTTAAAAGTTATGTATAATTTTTATATTTTGTTAAATATTTCTATTCAGATTAATAAAATTAGTGTTGCTTAACACTAGTGTGTAGTTTGCATATATGCAGTTATACATTAATGCTCTCTGTCTTATCCTCTTTCAACTTTGGAGCATGAGCAGCTTTGTATATCTGCAAAGCATGTTTGACCATAGTGTGCACTTTTTCTACTAGAAGTTGCTAATTGTCTGTTGTTTATATTTTTGTCTTGGTCAAACTAAAGTTATGGCAGTAATGTGCTAGATGTATTCTTGTTTTATTTAGAGACGAATATTATATGTATATTTATAGTGAATTTTTTGGTGAAGAATTTAGTGTTTCGTAATTGTGTACCCGTATTTAGATCTGCATAATTCTCTTTTATTATTTACTAGCTGCAAGGACCTGCTTTGCTGGGCAAAAAGTAACGATTGTGAAGATTAAGATAATTACATTATAGCCAATCTTACCCGTTTTTACAGAATGCAAGAATTAGATCCCCCATTTCCAGACTAATTAGAGAATTTTTACGTCCAGTCAAACAAACTATTTTCAATTTGATCAATTTTCTGGAACGTTTACAATTGTTCTATAATCGAACCAATTCGAATTTAAAACAGTTCGAACATTTTTAAAATCGAAATAGAAAATCTTCGAAGTCAACCACTTTAAGCCTCTATATCTCCCACACCCTTACAGCTATCGAGACGCAACCACCATAGTGCACGAATGGGAACTTGGGGCTACTACCACATACAAACACCATTCATGTGTGATGTGTAGTTTTGGCGGAAAAGTGAAATATAGGGACACACACGTCCATTTTTATATATATATATATATATATCTATGCAGATATATATCTTGCAGATATTCAAAATGATATATATATATATATATATATCATTTTGAATATCTGCAACTATGCATATGTGTTGATTTTGAATACTGTTATACTTTTGAAGCTATATTGAAAGTTTAGTATTTCTCTTGTTCTCATTTTGATTATTAGACTGAATTAATCAGAAACTGTGGGAGATTATACATTTCAGGAGGATGAGTGAAGAAGTACCATACATCGGATGAAATGTAAGCTTTGATTAGGCCTTCTGACAATGAAGATGGCCTTGTTGATAATGGTGATTTGGCTGAGGATCCTACTGTACTGCCAGAAAGTTTTCCGGTAGTTTTGTTTGATAGTGATGAAGAGTTCATGCCTCAATCAAAATTGCCTTATCCTAAATTGCCCTATAGTGTGCTGAGATGATACACATGCTGCTTCAGTTTTTGATGAAAATAATTCATAACGTTCCCCATCATCACACTCTAGGAACAAGCTCCAGGGAAATCAAGAGACAAAATCAAGAAGACAATTGCAATTATGTGGAAGTGTGGGAATAATTCTTTCAATTCTGAGATACTCAAGGGAAATTGTAGCCTGCCTGAAAATGTAAAGAAACTTGACATTTCTTATCAGTTAATGGCATACAAAGTTGTTCTTATAAGCTTACTTACTTATCTTGTGAATAAACTATCAGCTAGAAAATATTTGCAGAACTCATCAAAGTCAATGCAGTCTATGAACTACTGTACTGTACATGTAATTAAAGGGAAGAAATAGGATTTGCTAAAGATAAACATTATACATAGGAGGGAGGGAGTAAAAATGACTCATAAAGTGTATATGTAATTAATGGATGATCCGTTATTGTCGTAATTTTTAATTTTTAGAATACTCTCGTACACACTGGTTGAACCTTTATCTCCAATACTACTTAAAATTCGGAAAACAAACATTTTCATTAAATGAAAACTGGATTCCAATCTTAGAACAAAATTCTTGAAACAATTTCAAACATTGAGTTTTAAAATAAATTTGAACATATGCGCATGTTATGGTGCGTCAACGATTTCCTGCTCTTTATTGAGGAGTATAACAATATAAAATTACAACCATGCTTCTGCGCTCTGAGGGATATCCTATTAGCCAAATGCAGAATGTCAACACATCACAAAACAGGTCTTAGAGCTGGCACATCTCAAGTATCCATATTCCAGTGAAAACTCCATATTCCAGTTTGACAACAGGACCTACTTACAAAAACTTGGGATACCCATGGGCAGCCCGCTGTCTGGCAACTTATGTGAGTTAGTATTACATAGACTAGAACAAAGAGTCATACTCGAGTATAGGTCCAATATAATTATATATAAGAGATATGTAGACGGCATATTTATCCTATGGAAAATGGAACCGAATGTCAATGATTTTTTAAGTTGCTTGAACAACAATCCATATGGACTGACCCTTAAACTCAACCAATTAACCACCACCAATACTTACTTCCTAGACATCAACATCCGGCTTAATGGTGGAGTGGTTGAAACCAGTATATATTATAAACCAGGCTGTATCCCATGGTTTATACAGCAAACTTAGCTGACCCTTACACTTATAAAATCACAGCATTCAGGGTGTTAGTTAGGAGACTGTATACATGCCCTTCCAGTTGGAGGGACACAGTAATTGAACTACAGAATCTAGAGTGCATTGCAATGGCACATGGCTACAAAAAAGAGCTAATATGAGGATTAGCCATATTCTTGACTTATTAAACAAAAATTTTAAAGTGTATTTCAATTAGCATGTGCCTATTGTAGACCATGGTACCCCCAATACTCAAAAGGCTCGCAACGAAGATCAGAATCAAGACCCCAGCCAGCAGACACACCACAGTTGAGTACAACCAATGATTTCAAGCTTTATATAAAGAAATTGCAACCAAAACTGGCACCAAATTAACATACCAAAGGTCTCCCACTATATATAAGTTATTGCGCAATGCAGGACAATCTCAGGGCTCTGGGAGTATACAGTATTCTGGTGAGAGATGACAGGTTTAGGCAAGAAATGATGTTCATTGGCTTCACTAAACGTTCCATCCAACAGAGTCAAGGAGCACAAATATGACATTGACCAGTGGTTCTCAACTGGGGGTACGAGCATAAATCGAAGGGGTACATCTAACTTTCATTATAAAATGGCATATGTTAATCAATTTGCTGTAAATTATTAACACAAGGAACAAGAAACGATAAAAACTTGCTTTAAAATATCCCAGTGTGAACATCGATTTCCCTTTTAACAGTCTAAACAACTTGTTTATCCACTTGATTTGCTTGTCTATTTGTGTCATTAGTGCCAAGTGAACCTGTAGTCTAGTAAAATTATGATTTAACCGAGCATTAATTTTAGAATAGAAAAAAAATTATTTTTCTATTCTCTAATTATTGATTGATAAGATTGGGGCTTTTTGTGTTTTTACTGGACTACTGGTATTAGGAATAATGAGGCCCCCATCATGCAATGCGTATCACTGTATGCGCACATTACTTGATATCTAGCAAATTTAGATGTTATGTTTGTTACAAAACTTGAAAGATTCATGTATTGTTCTGCACGTTATAAATTTGCAGCCATTACTTTCAAGGTCAGTACACAATTATAATCTCTATTTAACAATGTGGGAACCAAATATCTCATTAAATTTTGTTAGAAATTATTGTAGAATTTAAATTTTCTTTATTGTTAATTATAATTATTTATTTTTAGGAAATATAATTTATGCATGTATTAAAATGACTTCTGTGATTTTATATAATATACTTATCAAATAATAATAAATAAATGTATGTACCTGATTAAATTTATTATTATTTACGTAAAATAAGTAATNTGTCTGGCAACTTATGTGAGTTAGTATTACTTAGACTATAACAAAGAGTCATACTCAAGTATAGGTCCAATATAATTGTATATAAGAGATGTGTAGACGGCATATTTATCCTATGGAAAATGGAACCGAATGTCAATGATTTTTTAAGTTGCTTGAACAACAATCCATATGGACTGACCCTTAAACTCAACCAATTAACCACCACCAATGCCCACTTCCTAGATATCAACATCCGGCCATTATAAACCAGGCTGTGTCCCATGGTTTATACCAGCAAACTTAGCTGACCCTTACACTTATAAAATCACAGCATTCAGGGTGTTAGTTAGGAGACTGTATACATGCCCTTCCAGTTGGAGGGACACAGTAATTGAACTACAGAATCTAGAGCGCATTGCGATGGCACATGGCTATAAAAAAGAGCTAATATGAGGATTAGCCATATTCTTGACTTATTAAACAAAAATTTTAAAGTGTATTTCAATTAGCATGTGCCTATTGTAGACCATGGTACCCCCAATACTCAAAAGGCTCGCAACGAAGATCAGAATCAAGACCCCAGCCAGCAGACACACCACAGTTGAGTACAACCAATGATTTCAAGCTTTATATAAAGAAATTGCAACCAAAACTGGCACCAAATTAACATACCAAAGGTCTCCCACTATATATAAGTTATTGCGCAATGCATGACGATCTCAGGGCTCTGGGAGTATACAGTATTCTGGTGAGAGATGACATGTTTAGGCAAGAAATGATGTTCATTGGCTTCACTAAACGTTCCGTCCAACAGAGTCAGGGAGCACAAATATGACATTGACCAGTGGTTCTCAACTGGGGGTACATGTACCCCTAGGGGCACGAGCATAAATCGAAGGGGTACATCTAACTTTCATTATAAAATGGCATATGTTAATCAATTTGCTGTAAATTATTAACACAAGAAACGATAAAAACTTGCTTTAAAATATCCTAGTGTGAACACCGATTTCCCTTTTAACAGTCTAAACAACTTGTTTATCCACTTGATTTGCTTGTCTATTTGTGTCGTTAGTGCCAAGTGAACCTGTAGTCTAGTAAAATTATGATTTAACTGAGCATTAATTTTAGAATAGAAAAAAAATTATTTTTCTATTCTCTAATTATGGATTGATAAGATTGGGCTTTTCGTGTTTTTACTGGACTACTGGTATTAGGAATAATGAGGCCCTGATCATGCAATGCATGTCACTGCATGCGCACATTACTTGATATTTAGCAAATTTAGATGTTATGTTTGTTACAAAACTTGAAAGATTCATGTATTGTTCTGCACGTTATAAATTTGCAGCCATTACTTTCAAGGTCAGTACACAATTATAATCTCTATTTAACAATGTGGGAACCAAATATCTCATTAAATTTTGTTAGAAATTATTGTAGAATTTAAATTTTCTTTATTGTTAATTATAATTATTTATTTTTAGGAAATATAATTTATGCATGTATTAAAATGACTTCTGTGATTTTATATAATATACTTATCAAATAATAATAAATAAATGTATGTACCTGATTAAATTTATTATTATTTATGTAAAATAAGTAATTCACTTTTAGTTATAGTTAGCTAGTTAGTTAGTTTTTTTACGGTGCTCAATTATAAGGGCTGTATATATCTAACGCAGTAATTATAAAATTTACATACAAGAGTATAAGGGGTACTTGAGAAACAACTAATGGGCTAATAGGGTACATCAACAAAAAAGGTTGAGAACCACTGACATAGACCATACTTGTTACATCACTGCCCTATCCACTTATGCCACTGACCCAGAGGTTCATGCAGACCTATCCAACGCCAGACTGATAAAAAGAGCCTTTCACACTGACCACATCAGGGCCATTGAAGCCTTGAAATATACAAGGCCAGCCGGATAGGGAGATGTATAAACTCTAACGATGGCAACGCACTTTCATACGCCTGGCACTACATATGTGAAGAACAAGAAATCACCGACACTCCATAGCTTGCACATATATTCGAATTTGTTTTAAAGCACAACATTTGAAATTGTTTCAAAAATCATTCTAAGATTGGAATCCAGTTTTCATTTAATTAACCTGAAGCAGACCTCGGGTGAGGCCAAAAACATTTGTTTTCCGAACTTTAAGCACTACTGGAGATAAATGTTCAACCAGTGTGTTCAAGAGTGTTCATAACACCGGTAATCAGGTTAGAAGATAGAGTAGAGCATCTTATCCAAATGTTGATCAACCGAAACGTCAATTAACCAAAAACTTTCCAGTTGGCAAATTTAAATTTCCATTAGTGCTGTGGCACTGCAATCTTTGGCTATGTCTTGGGTTACTCCGATATTACTTTTATTGGTGTGCGTGTTTTAGCTGGTAGCACTGGTGCAATCATGAGAAGGTGCAGTACTTAGGGACATGCCAGGAATTTCAACATGAGATAGGTTAATATAATTTTTCATACATAATCAGTTATCCTAAAAATCAATTTGGATAATCGATGCTCTACAATATTGTAATTTTTAGAATATAATATAATGAATTATATTTTATACTAGCTGTTAACTCATCAAAAATGATGGGAGAAGAAATGAAAAAATTTTCCACTTCTCCCATTGATTTGCTTAAAACTATACAAAATTCATTTCTCACAGCAGTTTTCATAAAGACTGTCATTATCTAATAATTTGCCATTGATTCCAAATTTGAAGTATAAACTTCTAAGTTGTTCTTTTGAAGTAGTGTAATCCTAACTATACCCAATTTTGACAATTTTTGAATTCGAGTGTTGTACTGTCTGAAAAATTAGTATATTTAACATATAGTGGAAAATGTCCACCATGTATATTATTACTGGTGGATTTTGTCAATGTCATATTGTGATACAATTCTTCAGATTTGATTTGTCTGCATTTGAGAAATTTAATTACCTTTAATAATGTGGTATGGCTCAAATTACGAGGGCAGTTTTTTCATCCTCCAATGGTCCATAAAACAAAGACAAGTGTAAATAACAAAATGAAATTATTACTGAAAGTTAGGCATAAACATGGTTACTTTTTGACATAATCACCATGAAGATTGATTTATCTATCTGCGGATGAGCTTTGAAATCGCCTCTTCATAGAATGTTGCCACCAGTGATTGAGATGGGCCTTAATGTTATTTTGAAGAATGTCATTAGTCTTGAACCTCTGTGTTCAGGAAAGAGGTGGAAGTCGCTTGGTGCTAAATCAGGGCTGTATGCTGGATGTTTAAAAAGTTCCAAGCTAGGTGAAAGTCTTGAGACTAATGATGATTCTCAAACAATGTTAAGGCCCATCTCAATCACTGACAGCAACATTCTATAAAGAGAGGATTTCAAAGCTCATCCACAGATAGACAAATGCTTCAATCTTCATGGTGATTATGTTGAAAAGTAACCATGTCTGTACCTAACTTATGGTAATAAATTCATTTTGTTATTTGCACTTTTTTTTTTTTTTGGGCCATCAAAGGTTGAAAAAAAAAACAGTCTATGTAATTAAAGTATGTTGCTAAATGTAATACACTGTTTTTAGATTGTAAAGATAAGATTGTATATTTTATGCCATTGATCAAAGTGTGCATTAGCAATGTCTCTTCTAAGCAACTTACAGAACTGTGTTTGTTCTCAAAATTTGATGGGTCAATTTTGATAAAACTTTGGCATTATTCATGACTTATGATGACGAATTCAAAATTTTGCCTGTTTCTTTTTGGCATGTGGAAGGATTATCTTCTTAATTAATTAAGTGGCCAGCAGTTTTTTCTTCTGATCACACACACACACACACACACACACACACACCTTTATATGTACCATACATTCAAATTTGTCAGCACTTAGTTAGATAACTTATACTTACTAATACTTATTTAATTTTTATTACAAAAACACAGCATTCTGCCTTACTTCTATCACAATATCACAGTCATATAGTGTCCCCAGTTATAAATTATAAAATAATAAAAATTGATCAAAATAGTGTGTAAAGTTTTTATATTTTAACCTATTTATTTGAAAATACTGGGTTTTGATGTTAATATTTTAATTAAAATCAGTTACAAACTACTCTATACAATCTTATTTCAAAGGAATCTTATTTCAAAATTTTCCTTTATTTAATGTAAAAGTATGGACTCTCCTTTTACTTGCAATATCTTGCTCATTGGCCTGAGTACTTTCAAGTTGCTGAAGCCCCAAATGGAGATATTATGGGATACAGTAAGTATTTATTTTTACAATATAATAAATAAAAGTAATTTATACGAATTTGGACAACATATAAAATTGAAGAAATTTTTGTATTATTTATTATGATTTATTGACGTTATTTTGCTAAAATTATTTAAAGAAATCAAAAAATTCTAGTAATTTCACTTTTATTATTCAAAGTGGAAACTATTTTTATTAACTTAAGGAAATTATGTAATAAAAACAATTACAATTATCAGAATTATATTTCTCAATAAGGCAATTAGAAGTTTTAACAGCAGACTATATTTTAATCTGTTAAAATCTCTAACAGGGTTTTTATGGGGTTATTGTAATACATAAAAAAATTTTTTGCAGTTTTTTTAATTTTAATTTAATTATATTTGAATGTTTTAACAAGTGTGTGATTTGTAAAATTTCTAGAGGAGGAGCACTTGACTTATGATAGGCTTATAATAATATTTCATTCCACTGTTACATTAGATGGCATAAAGATTATGGTTTTAGTACTACAGCAGTGAAAAAAGAATTGCAGATAGCTGACATTTATTATTATAATTTTTTATTTCTTTAAAACATATGCTTGAAACATCAAATGGACACCACTAAGCAATTCTCTATTGGGTTTCTAGCTCAGGAAGATATCATCTTAGTATTAAACTTCACCAGTATAATAAGTCCTATTAATAAACAAGGTCCAAGTAGACAATATATACACAGAAATCATCTAAGTATGTTATTTTAAACATAGCAAGGAAAATTTATCTTAAGCATTCTTAAACATTGCTTTCTAACAGTATTAACAATAAATGAACAAAGCAAAAGAAAAGAGCACAAATTTTAATGTAGTAGTGTGCAGCCAAGATCTATGTGAGGAAACAAAACGTAAATTTAAAATATAGTATACAAAATATATTAATGTCGTAAAATATAATAGTAAATATTCTGCTGTCTCAGTTCACTGACATAGTAATGAATGTGAAATTAAAGATTTGGTAAAAATAATGAAAACAGAAAATAATAGTTTAAACAGAAAATAGTACAAGTATATAGAAATTATTAAATTACATCAAAATCTGAGAGTAAATGATAGCATTGGTTATCAACTTCTGGAATCATGGTATTTTTACGTTGATATCCCAGGTGGTTCTATTATCTTTAATTTTGAGTGTTTTGTAAATCGTTAGAATATAACAGTTAGATATTTGCAATTATTGTTAACCATTGTATATGGCTGAGGACTAACTAACCCTAGGAAGTCTACTTATATGTTGTTTTTTTCTGTCGTTATATATATTTATCAGTTTTAAGATTTTATCCTGCATCAGAGTTTTATTGCATTGTTTTAAGGTAAGGTTCTTATGTTGCTGAGTAATTGTATAATAATTGTGTAAATAAGGTCTTTAAAATTAAATAGGTAGATGTACAGTTCTCAGGCAAAAGATTCCGTGGTGATCATGATAAAGAAGTCATGCATATATCATTGGAAAATCCTTATAGGTACTGTTTGAATGTTTAATAATAATTACTTAAAGTACTATTGTAACTGAAGATAATTTTATGGATTATGCTAGTAAGTTAATCTTTGCTTGATGATTGGACTAATTATCTGTCTGAAATGCATTTTTGATATTAATTAATAAACCCTATATCTTTCTACCTAGTCTTTGACTCCCTTTCATTGACTACTCTACAAGGTGTGATAAGTCTAGGAAACTGACAAACCTTGGACTACATTAAGAAGAAAAAAGCATTATCAGTAAGCAAAACAAAATGGCTGCCAACCATATTGTACTTTGTCTGTTGGAAAAGATTTGTGCAATGTATATATCACAAATGATGATTACACAGTTAACTTATGCAGTAAATCAACTTTGTAGTTTGTAACAAACTTAGTTAAAATCAAACTTGTATAGTTTAAAAAATTGTAAAATTTTAGACACCCCTAAGTTTGATAATAAGGGGAAAGAAGCTATCCTAGTTCAGATACTTCTGTTTCTGCAGAGCTGGGAATATGGAACAGTCTCTTTGCTGTAACTCCATGCATGAAATGAAGAGGCAAAGTGGCCACTTAATTGCTTTATGCTAAAAAGTGCATCTTTTCTGTTAACTGTCTCATTATAGAAACAACAACAGTGGCCTAATAAAAATGTAAACCTATAAATTATTATAAATTTAGTCCAGGAGAGAATTGTTAAGAAGAGAGTTGTTTTTTGTGAACTATTTCTTACAGAAACATGCATGAAGTTATGGTGAATGGACTATAGAAGGAAAGGCCCCCATCTCCCTTTCAAAACATATCTTGGTTTCAACTATTTACTGGTTTTATGTAAATTTTTTGAAAGAAAAATGATTTAAAAATTTTGATTTTTAGATATTTTTTTACTTTTATATTATCGTTTTCATTCATTTTTTTCATTATTCTATTAAATTCATAATGATAAATCTATTTTATATTATGTAAAGCTAATTTTACTAATTAAAACTGTTTTTTAGAAGAACTCTTTTGAGATAATTCAAAGGTATCTGTGGAATAAATTTAAACATTTCAGTTCAGTTTCACATTGCATTAATAACAGATGTATTTGTTTTATTTTTATTTCAAAATAAATTATAATTTTATCTTAAAATTTAATGAAAGGGTTTTATAATTACATTTAAAAAAAATAAAAGTAATTTATTTATTATTTTATATATAACAACATAAAAGATTCTTAAAAATAAGTTTTTTTTTAAACATTAATTTTAATAATGGCTTAATAAATTAAATTTTATTATTTTAGTAATGGGAAAAGCAGAAGGTCATGGAGAAAATTGGCACGGACATGTGACTGCACTTACTGTTGCTCCTGATTATCGTAGGTTAGGACTTGCTGCCACATTGATGGTTGGACTGGAAGATGTATCTGAAAAGTAAGTATTTAAAAGTAATTAAGGCATCAAAATACTTAAATATTGTTGGTTCTAATAACCTACTTAAAAATTGGAATAGGTTATTAGAACCAACAATAATTGGAGTTAATAAGTAGAAAAACAGGATCTTCCAAAAAGATTGGTACTATTTTTAATTATGTTAATTATTATCTGAGAACACTGCAATGTACATTAAAACATTGGAAAACTGTCCAAGTTTTCCAGTGCCTGGTACAGTTTCTCATTATGTACATCTTCTGTTGCATGGCCCATATACAACCAATACTCAAATTCTTTCTAAGCTTGTTACAGCATATCCATTATCATTTCTCCTATAGTAGTCACAAGTGTACAACTCCTGTGGCTCCACAGTTGTATTCTGTTGGAGCTACAGTTTTTTCATGTTCCACAATGACAAGTGATTCCAAGTTTACAAAGTGCAGAACACAAAACATCTTTTCTGTTATGGAGTCACCATTTTCATTAACAGCAGACAAAACATTTAATTGCAGATGAGAGATGAAACTTGGATGGTTATTCTATCAACTGATGTATGTTGCATACTTCTCAGGTGAAAATTAACATAATTACAGTAATTTAAAATGGTAGCATTAGTTTTGGAAGACCCTGTATAAACAGAATAAAAAATAAGCACAATTAAATTCTTTCTGAACACTTTCAGATATTTAGGTTTGTCTTCAAGAGAATCCATTATTTAACAAGGAGGATTAGTTTTTAGAACAGAAGTGTTAGAAGAGTTAGTTTATAGTGTTTGAAATGTATAATCTTGCTTATTCTTTATTTTGTTCATATATCTATATGTTGACTCCAATAAAACAGTTTTCGAATTGATTATTGTAAACAAGTTTGACTTCATTATACTAAAGATGATGATTTTTTTTTATAATAGAAAGAGAGCATACTTTGTGGATTTATTTGTTCGGGTATCTAATAAAGTTGCTGTAGATATGTATAAACGATTAGGATATAGCGTATATAGGCGAGTTTTAGAATATTACTCTGGCGATCCTGATGAAGATGCATTTGGTTAGTAATTTTTAAAAAATTATTAATGCTACAAAGATTTTAAAATATCTAAAATATATAACCTAATATAAAATTGTAAAATACAAAAATTTATTTCCTAAAATAGAGCAAAAGCTGTAAACTTTTGATTGATATTTGATTGAAAACTGAATTATTTTGAATTTTTATATTTTAAATTGTTAAAATTTAATAATAATAATTTTTTGCAAAACATTCATTGAGAACTTAAAATTTCAAATATGGTCAAACTTCATTAATATGATGATCAATGTTGAAGGGACAAAAATTGGTACTTTATATTAATGAGTTTTGTACTCAGAAAATTACAAAAAATGGCAAAAGTCAAATTCTCTCCCACTCATTTCACTGTGTTTTACTTTATTTGATATGTTTAAAAACAAATAAATTAAATGATGTGTTGCTCCAAACATATACTTCATTGAGATACAGTGGCTTAAATAAAGAATTAACATTTGTTTTTAGACTTTGGTTAGAGTTGGTAGAGCATTGATTAAAGGAACTGGATATATCAGGCTGACCAAGCTGCCAAATTGAATCTAGGAATATGCATAAAGTTTACAAATTTAAAAATAACTTATTTGCTTGGATTTAAATAGTATTGGTTTAATTTTACTGTTACAAACTGTGATTCAGTTATATTGTCTGTTAGTAAAGCAATTAAAAATAAGAACTTTTTGTGTTTTGAGACACCTTGAAGTGTTGATATTAGACTTTTTCACATCCACTTTATTCTCTTATGTACTTTACAGTCTTTAAAGTAAATGTGCCAATACAGTGGTACCTCAGGATACGAAATTAATCCGTTCCGAAACTGAGATCGTATCATGAAAATGTCGTAAGGTGGATCTAACTTATGCAGTAAATCAACTTTGTAGTTTGTAACAAACTTAGTTAAAATCAAACTTGTATAGTTTAAAAAATTGTAAAATTTTAGACACCCCTAAGTTTGATAATAAGGGGAAAGAAGCTATCCTAGTTCAGATACTTCTGTTTCTGCAGAGCTGGGAATATGGAACAGTCTCTTTGCTGTAACTCCATGCATGAAATGAAGAGGCAAAGTGGCCACTTAATTGCTTTATGCTAAAAAGTGCATCTTTTCTGTTAACTGTCTCATTATAGAAACAACAACAGTGGCCTAATAAAAATGTAAACCTATAAATTATTATAAATTTAGTCCAGGAGAGAATTGTTAAGAAGAGAGTTGTTTTTTGTGAACTATTTCTTACAGAAACATGCATGAAGTTATGGTGAATGGACTATAGAAGGAAAGGCCCCCATCTCCCTTTCAAAACATATCTTGGTTTCAACTATTTACTGGTTTTATGTAAATTTTTTGAAAGAAAAATGATTTAAAAATTTTGATTTTTAGATATTTTTTTTTACTTTTATATTATCATTTTCATTCATTTTTTTCATTATTCTATTAAATTCATAATGATAAATCTATTTTATATTATGTAAAGCTAATTTTACTAATTAAAACTGTTTTTTAGAAGAACTCTTTTGAGATAATTCAAAGGTATCTGTGGAATAAATTTAAACATTTCAGTTCAGTTTCACATTGCATTAATAACAGATGTATTTGTTTTATTTTTATTTCAAAATAAATTATAATTTTATCTTAAAATTTAATGAAAGGGTTTTATAATTACATTTAAAAAAAATAAAAGTAATTTATTTATTATTTTATATATAACAACATAAAAGATTCTTAAAAATAAGTTTTTTTTTAAACATTAATTTTAATAATGGCTTAATAAATTAAATTTTATTATTTTAGTAATGGGAAAAGCAGAAGGTCATGGAGAAAATTGGCACGGACATGTGACTGCACTTACTGTTGCTCCTGATTATCGTAGGTTAGGACTTGCTGCCACATTGATGGTTGGACTGGAAGATGTATCTGAAAAGTAAGTATTTAAAAGTAATTAAGGCATCAAAATACTTAAATATTGTTGGTTCTAATAACCTACTTAAAAATTGGAATAGGTTATTAGAACCAACAATAATTGGAGTTAATAAGTAGAAAAACAGGATCTTCCAAAAAGATTGGTACTATTTTTAATTATGTTAATTATTATCTGAGAACACTGCAATGTACATTAAAACATTGGAAAACTGTCCAAGTTTTCCAGTGCCTGGTACAGTTTCTCATTATGTACATCTTCTGTTGCATGGCCCATATACAACCAATACTCAAATTCTTTCTAAGCTTGTTACAGCATATCCATTATCATTTCTCCTATAGTAGTCACAAGTGTACAACTCCTGTGGCTCCACAGTTGTATTCTGTTGGAGCTACAGTTTTTTCATGTTCCACAATGACAAGTGATTCCAAGTTTACAAAGTGCAGAACACAAAACATCTTTTCTGTTATGGAGTCACCATTTTCATTAACAGCAGACAAAACATTTAATTGCAGATGAGAGATGAAACTTGGATGGTTATTCTATCAACTGATGTATGTTGCATACTTCTCAGGTGAAAATTAACATAATTACAGTAATTTAAAATGGTAGCATTAGTTTTGGAAGACCCTGTATAAACAGAATAAAAAATAAGCACAATTAAATTCTTTCTGAACACTTTCAGATATTTAGGTTTGTCTTCAAGAGAATCCATTATTTAACAAGGAGGATTAGTTTTTAGAACAGAAGTGTTAGAAGAGTTAGTTTATAGTGTTTGAAATGTATAATCTTGCTTATTCTTTATTTTGTTCATATATCTATATGTTGACTCCAATAAAACAGTTTTCGAATTGATTATTGTAAACAAGTTTGACTTCATTATACTAAAGATGATGATTTTTTTTTATAATAGAAAGAGAGCATACTTTGTGGATTTATTTGTTCGGGTATCTAATAAAGTTGCTGTAGATATGTATAAACGATTAGGATATAGCGTATATAGGCGAGTTTTAGAATATTACTCTGGCGATCCTGATGAAGATGCATTTGGTTAGTAATTTTTAAAAAATTATTAATGCTACAAAGATTTTAAAATATCTAAAATATATAACCTAATATAAAATTGTAAAATACAAAAATTTATTTCCTAAAATAGAGCAAAAGCTGTAAACTTTTGATTGATATTTGATTGAAAACTGAATTATTTTGAATTTTTATATTTTAAATTGTTAAAATTTAATAATAATAATTTTTTGCAAAACATTCATTGAGAACTTAAAATTTCAAATATGGTCAAACTTCATTAATATGATGATCAATGTTGAAGGGACAAAAATTGGTACTTTATATTAATGAGTTTTGTACTCAGAAAATTACAAAAAATGGCAAAAGTCAAATTCTCTCCCACTCATTTCACTGTGTTTTACTTTATTTGATATGTTTAAAAACAAATAAATTAAATGATGTGTTGCTCCAAACATATACTTCATTGAGATACAGTGGCTTAAATAAAGAATTAACATTTGTTTTTAGACTTTGGTTAGAGTTGGTAGAGCATTGATTAAAGGAACTGGATATATCAGGCTGACCAAGCTGCCAAATTGAATCTAGGAATATGCATAAAGTTTACAAATTTAAAAATAACTTATTTGCTTGGATTTAAATAGTATTGGTTTAATTTTACTGTTACAAACTGTGATTCAGTTATATTGTCTGTTAGTAAAGCAATTAAAAATAAGAACTTTTTGTGTTTTGAGACACCTTGAAGTGTTGATATTAGACTTTTTCACATCCACTTTATTCTCTTATGTACTTTACAGTCTTTAAAGTAAATGTGCCAATACAGTGGTACCTCAGGATACGAAATTAATCCGTTCCGAAACTGAGATCGTATCATGAAAATGTCGTAAGGTGGATCATCTTTTCCCATACGATTACATGTAAAACCAAATAATTCGTTCCAACGCGAAAAACATACTCAAATTAAAGCCAAGTAATACATTAAAAAAAA